TCGTCCTACGTGGTTGCCGGCTCACTGGTCCGGAAGTGAGGCGTTCGCGCGCAAGACCAAAAGACCTGAGTTCGAAACCTTCGAGGTGCATGAGTCGTGGGTGAACACTGCTAATAAGTCCCATCCGAAGAGAAAACGACTGTCTTTCAGTCTGTCTTTCCAGGTTTCTAATAGTGGTTTCAGTAATAAGTAAATGTGGACTTTAGAATTGAAACAGCTGGCGAATTTAATCACAGATATTTTTTAAGACAGATTGATACATGTGTCAGGAGGTTGTGTTGACGCCATGTACTTTATTGGTTTGAAAAGATCTGACAATCGCCAAGTTTTATACAGTAAAGAATCTTCTTATAAACAGAAAACCAATACGACTTTCGATTCATCAACACAAGAAATATCAACAACAGCTTGTTTAGCAATTGTCAAAGTTATCCCCGAACAATAACTACACTTAAACAAAAATCGGGACTTTCTACTCATCCAACATTTTTTTCATTGAACAAGGTATGTAAGTTTATATAATAATCCGAGACAGTCTTTATAATTTTATGGAAACTAAACATCTTTGCAACTTACTATATGGTGCACTGATTCGCACTCTAAAGTGTTGAATGCTTTTCGAAATAAACCTCTGATGAGATAAGATTGTCCGAAATATAGTTGGTTTCGCCAAGTAAACGTGGTGAACCTTCACTAATTAACATGGCTTGGATATATATTAGATAACTCAGACCACCATCTACCTAAACAAGTAACTTTGGCTAGCACATGCTAGGTGTAGGTCGGAAGATATCAGTCAAACCAAGATGTGATATCGATTTGCAGAATGATTCATTGTCCGACCGATCTATGTGACGCCGAATGCCCTGAGATCGCTGAGTGGAGTCTGCAGTCCCCTCATATGAACATGCGTACATAGCCGTTGCCAGCTTAAACCATGCCAGTGGATACGGAGGTTTCACCTAAGGTAGCAGAAAAACCGTCATTTCAAACCAATGATATACATCAGTTACCGTGAGCCTACATCATCAAACGTTGATTTACAACTACCTTGTCCATCCGACCAGTAGATTAAAAGCTCGAAAAATGGTCATCTAAGAAAACCATGTGTTTCAGTTTGGGTAACCAAGAAGTTTCTCAGCTCGTGGCCAACATTTGAAGATATTGAATAGTAGTAACAAGGCCCATCAGTCCATGGAAATGCAACAGATGCGTACATCCACTCTTATATTATTCGGCTTACAAAGATACTGAGATTCAAAACAAATAATCTTTCCATTCCAAGGACTCATCTCGAATCCACTGGTATTTTTATCAAGTGATTTCGTCACACTACATTGATTCAACTGAGAATAATCCACAGATATATAAATCACATCATCTAAGAGATTAACTAAGGAGACACATAGCTTAATGTATTTCGGTTTGAGAGAATGTTTCAGCTGACGCCTAGTAAAACTACTCAATCAAATGAATTAAGGTACAAAGCTACCACTACTACTACTGTGGTGTGAGCTACTTATAAGTAGTATATGACGTGAGTGTCAACGTAATGTCTGGCAGCAGAAGATGGGGGAAGATCAAGAAAGGAAGAGTTAGAAGAACACAATGGAATTTGTATGAAACGCATGAATAGTGACAATGGATTGATGTTTGGCAACAGGAACAGTCCAGTTCGATATGATGGACTGATATTTTGCAAATTAACGATTTACGATATGGTTTTCCAATTTTACTTATTAACTCTGTAATTTTCGTTAAATACAATTCTGTTGCCCTCACCTGTGTTCTCCTTCACTACAGTCATACCACATTACCACACACACACATATCGAATTATCAATTCAAAATCCCATAGTAGAAGAGGTAAAAACAGTACTAGCGGCAATCGGAAAGATTATGGTTCGAAGATACCAACCGAGAAGTATACCTCACTGAGATTAATTTACAAGAGAAAAAAGGTGATGAGGAGTTCAGAAGAGTACAATTTGAGAGAACACACAATGAATACACCTGTACCATTGCAAACGAATTCCAACCATGTCATTCAAAGTCTCTAACCATCGGTTATCCATTGTCTCGTGGACCCCGAACATGTTGTTTACATCGATTAACATGGCTGAATCCAGTTGTGAGTGACTTCATGGATTTCAGACATATTTTGGTCTTTTGAAACCATGAACCGATCAATGTTAGACCACCATTAGAAACCTGGCAAAGCACTGGACGGCCGTATCGTCCTGGTATGGGGCTCCTCAGCGGCAGTGCGCATCCGCGACTCCTGCACCCTCGGTTCATGGTTTCAAAAATGTGTAACTTAACAATCTTCACAACAACCCCGTAATGCAAATTACCTGTGCTCACTAGTGACTAGCTTCGTGAGGAATCTTCTCCGAGTTCTAGTGGTGGGAAGACGTGACCAGTGAAGTTCAACCTGTTCCGGTGTAGACAGTAACTACTACCGAAGACTGTGTATGAGGTTGCGCAACTCCGTGAATTTGATCAAGTTAGGCATTAACACCGTTAGATACCGGCTCAGTGGTCTGTCGGTTAGGGCGTTCGCGCACAATACCGAAGGTCCTGGGTTCGACCCCTGCGGGGTGAAGGAGTCGTGGATGCGTACTGCTGAGGAGTCCCATATCAGGACGAAACGGCCGTCCAGTGGTTCAAGGCTTCTAATGGTGGTCTAACATTGATCGGTTCATCTTTTCAAAAAAAATGTGCAACTTAACAATCTTCACAACCCCGTAATGTCTGACCGCCCCTAGTTTTCTTAAAGCGTATTTCTACACCAGGCATTATCGCTCGTTAAGACAGTCGTTGGTTGGGTATCCACAACACATGTCCCAATCACCTCAACTGATGAAATTTCATTATTTTATCTACTGATCTGCCATCCTTACTTACTTAGTACCCGTTTTCTAACAACAATATTACTTACTCAGTGGTCCCTTGAATGACATGGCTCAAAATCGTTCGCAATGGCGCCGGTGCATTTATTCTTTGTGTTCTCTCAAATCTTAATCTTCTGGATTCTTCAACACCTCTAGTTTTGACTTTCTAAACTTTTCTCATTTAATCACACTTCTTCAATAATATCTTCTAATCCTCACCTCTCCGATTACTTCTAATCCCTTAACTACCTTTACTACTATTGGATTTGAATTGACAATTACATCTCTGTGCTAGTAATGTGGTATGGCAACATGAACTAATGTACTTACGTACGAAGTTCTACGTTGCAACTAACTGACTGACTGACTTACTCAGTGGTCCCAGGATAGACATCTATGGTCGAAAACCAATAACCTACGACCACGCTCTACTCTAACTAACCATGTGACTGACTGATCAGAAACGTATCGCTCACTCACACACACACACACACACACAAAGTGTGTGTACACAATAACGCAAACACAAGAGTGCATATCTGCAAAAATGAACGCAAACAACAATACAAAAAATAATAATAACAACAACGAAGCCAATTAGAAAAATTTTTCAATTAATAATAATAATACTCTATCTGTTACAGATTCTTTATTTATTATTATGATTATGATTATTATCAACATTGTTTTATTCTGTTTTTATTACTTATATTGTATAGTCAAGTTTAATGATAATGAAGTATAATTTTCTATGATACAAACCAACAGAGAGAGAGAGAGTGAGTGAGTGTGAGAGTAAGTGAGAGAGAGACAGACAGAGAGAGAATCTTCAATCAAGAAAAAAATAAGAAATAATGCGATTCCACTTAGTTTGATTTCTTTCTGTACAAATCAAACTATGAACTGAGTTGAACGGTGTACGCACACATGTGTACACCACATAAAATTTCAACAGGAGAACAATGAATTGCAAGAGGTAAGAAGAATCAACAAAAATAATTTTAGTAATTGTAATAATAATGATAATCAAAATAGGGATAGACATAACTGATCACCACCATTAAAAACTGCTATAACTACTATTACTATTACTACTACTACTACTACTACTACTACCAATACGACTCTGACTGATAAGAATATTAAATTATCATGTGATTCTGATCATTTGATGAATAAGATGCACTCTGTGTGTGTGTGTATGTGATTGGTTGGTTGGTTGGTTGGTTGGTTGGTTGGTTAGTTGCAGTTCTCCTCCACAGTGGTCACGGAAAAACACAACTCAAAGCTATGTGTTGATGGGTGAAAGAAGAACATTTCTTGGAGTATGCAGCAGCAAAGAAACTCGAGTCAACGAATACAACATAGTATAGATGAAAAGATAAATCAGGTAGGGCAGAGGATTGTTGAATGTTCTGTATCTGCAGAAAAAAAAATAATCTTGAACAAAAGGAGAAAGGTGTAGCATTGGAAGGGAATGGAGAAAACTAACAACAACATCAACGACAACAAACAGAGAAGTAATCGATCCATCCATATGCATTTTTTTAAGGAAAAAAAAGGGGAAAAACAAACAAACCAAACGAGAAAGCACTTTTACAAGAACCATTGAAAATTCAAAAAAAACCAAGAAAGATACCCTTTGGCTTCAATACAAATCACACTATACAAACAAACAGGGGAGAGATGGTGAAACAGTTTGACTGTTAGTTAGTTAGAGCGGTCGGAGCTTGGCATGGAGTGGGAAAAACACAGAACACAGTGAGTTTCAATTGTATGCGAAGATGTCATCCATATTTCGCGCCCGTGTTGTTCTTCTTGTCAGTATGTGTACGCGACAACACGAGGGCGGCGTTGAGTAGAGTAGGACAGAGGGAGAACGGAGGACCATTACACACACACACACAGACCCGACGATCAAATATAAAATAATGCATAGATTTATTCTTTCTTTTTTTTCTATATCCTGTAACCGTCTCAAAATTTATTTTTGAAAAAAATTGACTAAATTGTAACAAATAAAGAAGAATACATCAATTCATAAGAATGGTAATTTCGAATTTCGATAATATGAAAGACCCTTGGTGAGCGAGCCAGCCAGCGAGCGAACCAACGAGTAAGCAAGCAAGCATTGATCAATCTCGGCTGAAGTAGATGCGCGGAAGGCGTGGAACAAGTAGTACACACACACACACAGAGAAGACATGGAACATGACAATATTGGAGGAAAAAAGAAAAAGATTTAAGAAGTTGAAAGAACACGACGACAACAACAACAACGAAACAACAATCGACAGTCGTGAAACATAAATCCGCACAGTGAAGAATACCGCTAGTTTGTTGGTGTGCCGGGTTTGAAAAAAAAAACAGAGAAAAGCAGCAATTCAAGAAAAAAATAAAGTGAGCGGACCAACTTGAAGAACAAGAATGTTGTTATTGATGATGATAGGTTTGTTTATGATGAGAATTCTGGTGAGTAGTAAAAATAATAAACTAGTTAGATTGATAGATAGATACACAAAGAGAAAGAGAGAAAGGCAAAACGGTGCAGGGAACAACGATCATGTCTAAGTCTGTTATTGTTGTGTCTTGAATACAAGCACACTGGTAGGCACTACTACTACTACTACTACTATGATTACTGTCTTCCTTGCCAGCCAGCATTAAACGTCAAAATAGTAAGTGTAAGTGTTGTGAAGAATATGATTACAATTTTTGTACAATGTATTTATTTATATAATGTAGATAGGCAGATAGGCAGATAGATAGTTTGAAAGAAAACAGGAAAAAGTTGCAAAGGCATACATACAATACATATACAGATGTGTAGTGTGTGTGTGTGTAGTAAGTAGAGTTTATTCATACGATTTGGACAATGCAGAAGAAGGTGGACAATGTCGATGCAGTTGGGAATGATGACTATGATTAGTATTATTATGCGATGATGACGGCGATGATGATGATAAGAGTAGGCCTTGATCGGAGGATACACCTAGAATTGGCAAAAATTAAATTTTTTTTTAAAAAAAGGAACTAATACAAATAGATAACAACTATCAATACGTAAGATAAATGTAAAACTAACTCATTGATCGTCAAGTGTACAAATGGAAGAATTCAGAGACGTAAATGAACGGACGAAAGAATATTTCCGGCTTGATATATTGATCAATCGTGTATCCTAGGACACGCAGTCGGATGCAACGTAGAACTTTTTACGTAAGTACATCAGTCTATGTTGCCATACCACACTAGCACAGAGAGATCGAACTGTCAATTCAAATCCGATAGTAGTAGAGGTAGTAGAGTTATTAGAAGTAATCGAAGAGGTTAGGATTAGAAGATATTATTCAAGAAGTATGATTGAGTTTAGAAAGTTTAGAAAGTCAAAAGTAGAGGTGTTGAAGAATCCAGAAGATTAGGATTTGAGAGAGCACAAAGCATAAATGCACCGGCGCCATTGCGAACGATTTTGAGCCATGTCATTCAAGGCCTCTAACCAATTATTATTATCATCTCGCGGATCCCAACCAGGTAGTCGTCTTCAACTACCGACATGACTCAGTCCACTTGTCAATGACTTCATAGATTTCTGCCATGTTTTGGTTTGGCCGCCCCTAGCTTTCTTCCAACCTATTCCTACACTACAAAACAAAGCTCGTCGAGGCAGTCGGTGGTTAGCCATACGTAACACATTTACCAACCACCTCAACTGATGAAGTTTCATTACTTCATCTATTGATCTGCTATTCTTACCTAGCACCCGATTCCTAATAACAGCATTGCTCACTCGGGTGTCCCACGATATACGAGCAATGCTTCGAAGACACCTATGATCGAAAACCAGTAACCTACGAATATCTTCTACTCTCACTGGCCATGTTTCACAGCCGAGTAAGCAATGCTGGCGTTAGGAAACATGTCCAAGGTAGGGATGTAAGGTCAATAGATGAAGTAATGAAACTTCATCAGTTGAGGTGGTTGGGACATGTGTTACGTATGCCTAACCACCGACTGACTCGACGAGTTATGCATCGCGATGTAGGAATAGGTTGGAACAAAGTTAAGGGCGACCAAGCCAAAACATGGCAGAAATCTATGACAATTGGATTGAGTCATGTTGGTAAGTGTACAATACTTGGTTGGAGAACATGAGACGATAGTAATCGATGGTTAAAGATCTTGAATGATATATTGCTCAAAACCGTTTGTAATGGCTGTTGATTGATTGAAACATAGCTCGGTCTTAAACGGGATCCTTCGTAGCCCCGGAGAGCCGAATGGTAACGTCTAGTGGATACGCACAGTTGGTGAGTTTCATATTAAAATAAAATGGCTATTCATTCAGTGCTTCATAATCATCATCTCTATATTTCTTTTCCTAAATTTACCTCACTGAATTATACTTCTTGAATAATATCTTCGAACCCTGATCTCCCCGATTACTTCTAATACCTCTACTACTATGGGATTTGAATTGACAATTATATCTCTGCGCTAATGTGATATGGCAGCTTGAACTGATGTACTTACGTACGAAGTTGTCCGTTGTAACTCACTGACTGACTGAGGTTTCTAATAGTGGCCTAAAATTGACCGATTCATGATTTCAATGAAACTCAATAATTTCCACAACTCTATAAAATGGATTAGTTTATCGCTCAGTCAGCATCAACGCAGAACTTCGTACATACAATAGGTACATCAGATCAAGTTGTCATACCATAACCACGTTAGTACACAGAAATCGAGTGATCAATTCAAATCTCATAGTGATAAAGGTAGTAGAAGTATTAGCGGTAATGGTGAAGATAAGGTACCGATGATATGATTCCTGAAGTATGTACGATCCAGTGAAATAAATTTTACAAAAAGAAACATAAAGGTGATGAGGAATTATTCCGAGAGAAGACAAACAATGGATGTATCTGCCCTATTCAAAGTCTCTAACCAAAGGGTTGCGATAATCTAGCTAACCCCCCCCCCGACCAGGTAGTAGTCTACACCAACGACTAACATTAGCTTACTCCAGTTGTCAATGGACTTCATGAATTTCTACCATGTTTCGATGTGGCCACCGTTAGCGTCCCTCCAAGATTAACACTTGAAAACCCTTGATAAAATAACCTGCTAGGTAAGAATGGCAGATCAATAGATGAAGTAATGAAACTTCATCAGTTGAGGTAGTTGGGACATGTGTTACGCATGCCGAACCACCAACTGCCTCGACGAGCTTTGTTTTGTTGTGTAGAAGTAGGTTGGATGAAAGTTAGGGGCGGCCAAACCAAAACATGGCAGAAATCCATGAAGTTATTGACAAGTGGACTTAGCCATGTCGGTAATTGTCGACTACCTGGTTGGGGTCCGCGAGATGATAATAATCGATGGTTAGAAACCTTGAATGACATGGCTCAAAATCGTCCGCAATGGCGCCAGTGCATTTATTTTTTGTGTTCTCTCAAATCCTAATCTTCTGGATTCTTCAACACCTCTACTTTTGACTTGCTAAACTTATCTCACTGAATCATACTTCTTGAATAATATCTTCTAATCACATAACCTCTCCGATTACTTCTCAGAGCTTTACTACCTCTTCTACTATTGGATTTGAATTGACAATTATATCTCTGTGCTGATGTAGTATGGCAACATGAATTGATGTACTTACGTACGAAGTTCTCCGTTGCATCTGACTGACTGATAAAATAACCATATTGCTTAATGCTGTAAGTTTACCATAATAAATAGTAAATTTTTATAGACCAGTCCAACCAACTAGCACTGTATTCCGCCGAGTTGTATTTCTGTCTACATTGTTTTAAACCAAAAAACTTCATCTACACTTACCGGGTGGTCCTGATAATAGAATTGGAGAATTGGGCGATGAAACACAAAAACCAATAGGATTTATTGATGACGATGATGATCCTGTTGACGATGGACGAGCATTTTGTTGTCCAGTAGTCTTAAGGAATTCCGATGTAATCAAAGGAAGCGACGATAATTGTCTTGATTGATGATTAGGATTTATGGTAGGAATTAAAGGGATGCTACTACTACTATTAGTCGGAGAGAATAATTGTGACGTAGTGGATAAATTATTTAATCCTGATAAATGAGACGGTGATTGTTTTTGTAACGGATAAATTACACCGGGATTTTGATGATTAATCATTGGAGGATGGTGTAATTCATTATTCTCACTGGCTGGTTTATTATGCATCGAACTAGTAGTAGTTGGAGTTGGATAAAACAAATGATTGATATTTGTTGGTTTTTTTACAGTTGACGCAGAAAATATATTCATCACAGGAAAAAATAATTTTGTTGGTTCATTGTTTGATCCTAGCATGGTGGTCGGTGAACGACAACATGAAGAAAGTATCAATGGGGAGAGATTTAAACGTTTCGACACATCAATATACGCACCAGCAGCACCAACTTGAGGTAGAATAGTAGGAGTAGTAGTAGGAGTAGGAGTAGTAGTAGTAGTGCCAGGATTAGTTTGATTCATGGACAAATTGGATAATACCACTGTCGATGATGCTGTTGGTGGCAATGGCGGCGGCGGCGGCGGCAGCGGTTCCATAGGATTTGTTATTGTTTCTAAATTTAACACAGGAAGCATATTGATTGTGGTGGCAGTGGACGATGACACTGTACCATCATCAGAGATATCTGAATAAGCAGGACTAGCAGCCGGTGGTTCATCAGCAATATCAATCATTGTTGTTGTAGTCGCTGTGGTTGTGATCTGATGAAAATGATCAAAATTCACATCATCATCATTATTCATAAATTGATTTGTATGTGAAAATGAATCCGGTATTGAAACGACACGATGTAGTTTCGGTGGATCAATATTATCAACATCATCATCATCACCAACAACGTCGTCGCCGTCGTTATCATCATCATCTTCGACATCATCACCATTGGCTAGAATTAAACTTGTCTCATTATTATTATTACTACTACTTCGATCTTTGATTCCATGTGCTCTGGCTAATTTCGGTGGAGGCGATGAATTAGCCGAATGATCACATACAGATATTTCAAGATTATTGCCAGTAGGATCATCATCAGCATCGACATCATCATCAGCATCATCATTGTCGAAATCTTCCCTTTTCATCCATTTCATCATCTTATCCCCTCTAATCGGTGCATCAATCATAAAAGACTCTTTTACATCGTTCAGTTCTTCTATTGGTTGAGAATTGTTATGCTGATGCTGATGTCCCATGGTGAAATGAAAACGCATACTTAAAATATCCATGAAACGTTTTTCACAACCATTGAATGGACAATGCAATGGGGGTAATTTACAATCAGAATTCGACGATGAATTATCTGACAAATTAGTCGATTGATTATCTCCTACATCATCCATGTGAGTGTGTTGTTGTTTGGTTTCGGGCATAGTTGATGAAGCATTATTATTCAGTAAACATTCATTCGAAGGAGACAATGCATCGATTGAAGGAATTGATCGTCGACCAGCACCACCACGACGTCTACGTCCTTTAGCACCACGTTGTGGAATATGATTTGATATATGATGATTGTTCGATTTCTTTGAATTATAATTTGTTTCGATCGGTGTATACGGTTGATCAATACAATCAGTTGAATAAGGATCATTCATTATGATAGGTTGATCTTTGGAATCGACACTACCTTCTCGTGAATCTTGTGATGCAGCAGCTGCTGCGGCTGAAGCTGATCGAGTAGTCATTGATTTACCACCAGTACCATTGCCGACACCGCCGCCTCCGCCTCCACCACGACGATGACGCATATGATGAAAATGATGTAAGCCACGAGATTGATAACCCCGGTGTGGATCACACCAAGATTTTCGACCACGTAATAAATTCAATGCACTAGCGACACCTTTATCAATGCTAGAAATGAGAGAGAGAAAAAATAGACAATTTAAGAACAAAATTAATTGAATTATCATGTAGTTAGTAGCCTTTTTACTTATTAAAATGGAAGAATAAACGACTTGTAAGCTATTCGCCAAAAATTTAAAAATCAGACAATTATATGAATGAATTGAATTTCGATAAAACTTACCAAGTAGGTGCAAATGTCTGTTCTGATGAGTCTAATAAAGTGCCCATATAATTTCGTCCGCGCCAATGGAGACTGAGAACAAGCATCCCTGTTAAAATGTAAAATAAAAATAGGTCACTTCCAAAATAAATCAACATGAAATAACAGTAAGATTACAAATTTACTTTTTAAAAAAACCAGCTAGTTCCTCTTATGTATCATTCAATTAAAAAAGATTCATCGATATAGGGGAGGGGTTATGGAAAATGTTGAATTCCACTGAAATCATGAATTATTCAATATTCGGAACTTGAAAGCACTGCATAGCCGTTTCGTTCTAGAATACGACTCAACAATAGTGCGCATCCACGAGCTCGCCGATGGAAATCGAGAACCGAAGACCTTCAACCACTAACTGATTGAGGCTAAAAGCATTCACACACGTGAGACCGACGGTTCTGAATTCGATTCCTGTGAGTGAAATCGTAGGTGCGCGCTACTGATAGGTCAGTCCCATACCAGGATGAAACAAACAGCTGTTCAATGCTTACCGGTTTCCAACGGTGTCCGTCAGGGATATCCACTCTCCCCATTCTTGTTTAATTTTCTCATAGACATGCTTCTAGATATAACATTATCTTTGTCTGAATTTTCAGGAGTAGACCTTCTCTACCAGGAGATTCAATGCTTGACTTAGAATATGCCGATAACATAGTTCGACTTTGTGAAGGTGCTGATAAGCTGAAAATTTTCTGACTACCTTAAGCAACAATGCATGCATGTTCGGGATGTGAATTTCCCCCTCGAAATGCAAAATGTCGCTTTAGGATTGGCTTGTATCGGCACCTGAACTAGTAATAGGAAGTGAAGCAGTTGAGCGTGTTGACCGCTTCACTTATCTCAGGAGTCTCATCAATGCTGATGGCCTGGTGACTGACGAAATCTCAGCACGAGTACAGAAGGCTCACTAGATTCTACTTCTTGAATAATATCTTCGTACCCTATTCTTCTCCATTATCTCTAATGCTTCTACTATCTCTACCAACCATGGGATTTGAACTGACAGTTGCATCTCTGTGCTAACGTAGTGTGGCAACATGAACTTGCGTACGTTCGAACGAAGCTCTATGTTGTAACCAATTAACTAACTAATATTCAAGGTGTCTAACCAATCCCATGGTGACCGACATAAGGTATATACATCATATTTTCCTCTAAGATTCTAGAGCTCGTATACACCTCTGGCTTGGAATAAGGATTATCTAACTCCACCGAGATGGATACTTTGTATTAAACGAACTCGGTTCGAGAGCTGAATATTTGGATTTCATCCTTTCAATTCCGTAAACAACAGCTGTGCCACGAGGAATTAATTACGACTTCCCGGGTAGTGCCTACTACGCGTCGTCATGACAGTTAATTAGTCTGTTGCAACGTAGAACCTAATACGTACGTACATCAGTTCAAGTTGCCATACGACATTGGCAAGGGGAGATGTATCTGTCAGGCTGAATCCTATAGTGAAGGTAGTGGAGGAGCCGAAGATACGATTTGAGAAGATATAGATCAGCGAAATGAAAAAGAATCAAATTTAGAAAATAAGAATTATGAGGAATTTGAAAGACAAGAATTTGGGAGAAGACAATGACGGTTGGGAAATATTTTGAGCCACGTCATTCCAAGTCTCTAATCCTCCGTTACGTCTGTCATGAACTGCTTCAACCAGCAAGTTTAAACCTATTAACAAGGCTCATTGCAGTTGTCAGTGCCATGTCCTGGTTTGGCCACTCCTAGCTTTAGTCCAGCCTACCCGTATATCACAAAACATTGCTCGTCGAAGCAGTTGGTGGTTGGGTATACGTAACACATTCCCAAACCACCTCAACTGATGAAGTCCCAATACTTCATCTATTGATTTGCCATCCTTACCTAGAACTCGTTTGCTAACGATAGCATTGCTTACTTGGTTGCCCCATGATACACGAGCAATGCTTCAGAGACACCTATGATAGAATACTAATAACCTATGAATATTCTCGCTTCTTAATGACTATGTCTCACAGCTATATAGTAGGACGGAACGAACTGCTCTGCAGTAAACCCGCCCTTTGTTCGGTAGACAGATATCTTGCCTACGCCATAAGTGACGCAATTCGGCAAAAGCCAAACGAGCCTTCTCTATCCGTGCTGAGATTACGTCAAACACCAGACCATCAACTCACCACTGATGAGACCATAATCATTCACCTGAGCTATAAATTTTCTTCACCATCTAATAGATTTCTGTAAAATTCATGTTCTACCTCATCTGAGCTGTAATCAGTCAGAACGTAAGTAAAGGCAACGGAAAATTTCCTTATCTTTCCGAGGTCTTACTGTCCCATTTACTCGGACAGCACTCAAGTGACTATCTATTGGAATCCAGTCTAGGAGAGCTAGTTCTGCTTTTTAGTTTAATGCACTTCGCCATCAGGTCGTAAACTGCTTACTTTTAGTTTTACCATTCTCCAACCGACCTGCCTGGCTTGGTAGAACATAAAGGAACATATGTTCCAGTCAATATAGCTTGGTTGAATTATCACGATAGGCAAGCCCGACCACCACACCAAGATAGCTGCTACAGTCGGAAGCGTAGTCATCCTTGAGAAAGTTGTAGAGTTGTCAATTATATGCCCCATTTCAATTATGTGCTTCGCTAACGATGAACATAATTTTCTACTTCCCACGTTAGCATTCATTAGTTTTGAAACAATCTAGGCACATGGTCCATTAGTCTTGACTACATTGTTCGATTACTCCTCTGAATGTAAGTGTACTGATAAGTACAGTGGGATGTGACGTAATTGTTCCTGCAATATCTTCGCCTATGTGGAATCAGAGGCTCGAACCTTTCACTTCTCAATGGCTGCTGCTTTTAGTCACACGTCTGAGTGGTAAAAAGATATAAACACTTTACTTTCCAGGAGAATTGTATTGACTGACTTTGACACTTATATTTATGATATAAACTTTGGTGAATAACCGTTGGAAATATCAATTTATTTGAATGTTTATTTCACTGAACTTTACGTGTCCGAAATATGGTGCAAATATATAAACGATTTTTTCTTCAGAAACAAAATTCGTCTTCTCAGGATTCATGATTCATTTAAAACTTCAATTATCGCGTCTTGACTAATATTGGGCTGAGGTGAGCTTACTTGATTACTTACGCCTGTTACCCCCAATCGAGCATAGGCCACCCACTAGTTTTCTCCAACCAACTCTGTCATGGGTTTCCCTCTCCAGTTCTGTCCAATGTTTGTTCATTCCTCTCATATCTTACTCTATTTCTCGACGTAGTGTGTTCCTTGGAATTCCTCTTTTCCTTTTGCCTTGAGGGTTCCATGTGAGGGCTTGTCTCGTGATGCAGTTAGGTGCTTTCCTCAATGTGTGTCCTATCCACTTCCACCGCTTCTTCCTGATTTCCTCCTCCACTGAAGGAATCTGGTTTGTTCTCTCCCAAAGTCGGTTGCTGCTGATGGTGTCTGACCAACGAATACGAAGTATTTTGCGTAGACAACTGTTAATAAATACTTGTATCTTCTGGATGATGGGGCTTTGGTAGTTCTCCAAGTTTCCGCTCCATACAGTAGAACTGTCTTGTCATTTGTATTGAAAATCCTGATTTTGGTTTTGGTTGAAAGTTGTTTGGAGTTGCAGATATTTTTCAACTGTAGAAATGCAGCCCTTGCTTTGCCAATCCGCGCCCTCACATCTACATCGGATCCACTTTGGTTGTCGATGATGCTGCCCAGATAGGCAAAGGTGTTAACGTCCTCCAATGCATCTCAATCAAGATGAGGTGAGCTAGTAAAAACAATTAAAAACTACCCAAGCATTCACTTGATTCGTTCTGTTGAAACTGGATTAAATTTCGTAAGATTTTTTTTAAAAATCTCTATGTCTCTTTGGATTTTTATCGACTGTTATGGGATCGATCATTCAAATAATATATATATATATATATTTTTCCATTAAAGGGTTGTGGAGATTGTTGAATTTCATTAAAATCATGAATCGATAATTGTTAGAACACCATTAGAAACCTGGAAGCACTGAACGACCGTTTCGACAACCTGAGTATGGGACTCATCAGCAGTGCACATCTCCGCTCGCGAGAACCGAACCCAGGAACTTTGGTCTCATGCAGTCAGTCAGTCAGTCAGATACAACGTAGAACTTCGTACGCAAGTACATTAGTTCATGTTGCCATACCACATCAGCACAGAGATATGATTTTCAATTGAAAATCCAATAGTAGAAGAGGTAGTAAAGGTATTAGAAGTGATCGGAGAGGTTAGGATTAGAAGATATTCAAGAAATATGATTCAGTGAGAAAAGTTTAGAAAGTCAAAACTAGAGTGGTTGAAGAAACCAGAAGATTAGGATTTGAGAGAACACAAAGAATAAATACACCGGCGCCATTGCGAACGATTTTGAGCCATGTCACTCACGGTCTCTAACCATCGATTATTATCATCTCATGGACCCCAACCAGGTAGTCGACAACTACCGACATGACTCAGTCCACCAGTCGATGACTTCATGGACTTCTGCCATGTTTTGGTTTGGCCGCCTCTAGCTTTCTTCCAGCCTTCCTCACATGCGCGAACGCTTAACCTGTAAACCTGAGTCAACATCGAAAGGCGTTAATGTCCAACTTCAAATAAATCCAAGGTCTTGCACGACCTCATCATTCACTGACTTCGGTGGGCACTGACTGATTCACAACCAACAGGATTGAACTTGTTATTGATTTCTTTAATGGAATCGAAAGTTGATTGGATTTTTACAGCATTTCATTTCATTACAGTAACAATTAAACACAGAGAGATTTTGCATCTAAAATTATCAAAGAGGTTGGTTGAAAAAGAAAAACGTTCACATACACACACACACACACACCTGTAGCTTCTAACCAGACTACACCTTCTACAACAACTTTTGTGCCTGGTTCACATGGTCCAAGTAGATTTGTTTCAGTTAAAGTTGCACTGTCAATTGTAGAAGTTGACGAATCAACAAAATGACGAGTATTTCCAAATATTGATAAAAGTTCCTAGAATAAGAAAAGGATACACACAAATAATCGGTTGGGTTTTATTGTTGAAAAACAGATAGATTATTATGAATTGACAGGTTAACGTATCTTATGAAAATGATAGATTTGTTAGGGGAAACGAATTCGTATGTTGAAAAAGTTGAATATTATCAATTCTATGGATAAAAAATTTGTGATCTCATAACTAGAAACTACAAATATGATCGGGTTAACAATTTGATACAGAAAACTGACGCATCTCTCCAACAACAATTACAAACTAAAAAGTTTAACTTATATTTTCATTGAAAAGTTGATAATAAATAACTTGGGAGCGATGATGAGTTGATTGTGACACTTAACTATACAAGTAACAAATGAATTCACTTACTCAGATCTGAATAGTCAACTACACGCTTGCTGATTTAGAGTATGCTGATGACATAGTTCCACTTGATGAAGATACTGATAAAATGCAGTCTTCTGACTATTCTAAGCAACAATGCAAGCATATTCAGGATGCGGTTTTCCCCCTCGAAATGCTAATCGGCACCTGAACTAGTGATAGGTAGTGAAGCAGTTGAACATGCTAACCGCTTCACTTAACTCGGGAGTCTCATCACTGCTGATGGCCTGGTGACTGACGAAATCTCAGCACGGATACGGAAGGCTCGATTGGCTTTTTGCCAACTTGAGTCACATACGGCGTAGGCGAGATATCTGTCTACCGAAAAAAAGGACGAGTATCCTGCACAGCAGTTTGCTCCATCCTACTTTATGGATGCGAAACATGGCCAGTCAGAGTAGAGGACATTCGTAGGCTATCAGTATTCGATTATCAATGTCTCTGAAGCATTGCTCGTGTATCATGGAACAGCCGAGTATGCAATGCTGTTGTTAAGAAACGAGTATTGAAACTTCATCAGTTGAGGTGGTTGGGACATGGGTTACGTATGACCAACCACCGACTGCCTCGACGAGTGATGTTTTGCGATGTAGGACTAGGTTACTATCATATCGTGGACCCCATCTAAGTAGTCTAAACCTACTAGCATTACCCAGACCAATTGTCTATGACTTGATAGATTTGTGCCATGTTTTGATTTGTCCACCCAAAGCTTTCTTTCAGTCTACTTCTACATCAGACAACATAGCTCATCGAGGTAGTCGGTGGTTAAGCAAATATACGTAACACACCCTCCAACCATTTAAACACATGATAATTGAATAACTAATATCAACAAAACATTTGAAATATCGCCATCAGATAGATGAAACAAACACAGGTGGCAAGCTTAGCTACCTTAATGTTATAGAGAAAATTAGTTATTTCCACCAAGACAGTTTACTTCTTCACAATTTAAAAGCATTTAGATATAAACCTTGAAGCAAGATACTCTAAGAAATTTGCATTTTATCCAATGAATGCAGCACATGAATGAACACACGTGAAAGAACTAAGAATCTTAATGTTACATCGGTAACTTCGTGTAACAAACTGAACAAGCTTAATGCGCATGAAATGATTCGATAAACTCACTTTTTGTGAGTTAATTCTAAACTACTTATATGAACAAACTCCGCCGGGAGCCCTTCTACAGTTACTGCCTATCACGAGCTCGGATAGATGAGGGCTTGGCATGAGGGGTTAGCGACCCCATTCCGAGGAAATCAAACTCGCTAAATTAAAATGCTTGCCATAAAAATAACTGGCTTATTATGCTCCATGAATGGTAACAGGTGTAAATAAGTAGATACAAGGTACATTGTCCAAATTGACCCAATATACCAATGAGGTACAGTCGCACACATACAGAGAGAGTGAGAGAACATTGAAAACAGAAACCAAACAATAATACCGAAAGCAGCGAGAACTATGATTAAATAATCTAATTGGAAAAGACCGAATGAAATGTATGAATAATAAAACTTAAGATTTAAGAAACTTGAGTTGAAAAAAAATACAAACAGATATGATCAAAGCTTGCAATGTAATAATCAGTTAATGTCAGTCAGTCAGTTAGTCAGCTACAACAAAGAATTACGTACGTACGTAAGTACATCAGATCAAGTTGTCATACAACAATAGCACACTGAGATCGAATTGTCAATTCAAATCTCATAGTAGTAGTAGTAGTAGTAGAGGTAGTAGAAGCGTTACCGGTGGTTCGAAGATATTATTCGAGAAGTTTATCCCAGAAGAGAAGACAAACAATGGTTGCACCTACGCTATTACAAACGATTTTCAGCTGTCATTCAAAGTCTCTAACCATAGGTTACTATTGACTCACGGACCCCAGTCAGGTAGCCTACATCCAACAACATGGCTCAGTCCAGTTTTAAGTCACTTCAGTTAGTGAGTTTTTGTAAATAATTACAAACTTTTTCAAGATTTCAGAAACCAAAATCTGTAGATACGCATATAAAGGATTATATGTCAACTATGCAACATTATACTCAAAGATGTGACAGTGCCACCTCACTACGAAACACTACTGTATACAAAAAAAACATGACAACAAATTTCTCAACTATGATTCGAACCATAGACGATCATGCATGAAGAACAGTTGTGGTGCGAGTTACTTATAAGTAGTATATGACGTGAGTGTCAACGTAACGTCTGGCAGCAGAAGATTGGGGAAGATCAAGAAAGGAAGAGTTAGAACATGGAATTAGTATGAAACGCATGAATAATAGTGACAATGGATTGATGTTTTGCAACAGGAACAGTTCAGTTCGACATGATGAACTGATATTTTGCAAATTAACGATTGACGATATGGTTTTCCTATTTTACTGAATAACTGTAATTTTCGTAAATACAATTCGGTTGCCCCACCTGTGTTCTCGTTCACTACACAGTTACGGTAGAATGAATATTAGCGTCATCATACATGTATAACTACTATCTATGAGACTCTTAAATTCATAGTGATTATGTCAGAATTTAACTCCACTTAGAACCCTTCTAGGGTTACTGCCGGTCCCAAGTTCGAATAAATAAAAAGGTAGTGTTGATCAGACGGGTTATCAACAGCATCCCATGAGAAACAACCTTGTTAGAAAAACGCCAACCAGGAAAAATCATATAAGTATATCAGATGAATATTAATAATATATTTGTCAACAAAAATGGAAACAAAACACTGATACGATGGGGAAAAATGAGTAATTCGAAGCTAAGTATATATATTATAGATTATCAATTTACGATATATGGCGCCAGGGACAATATTCATTGTTTATTAAAAGAAAATCAACTCTTTCAAAAAAAAAAACTCCTAGTCAAGTTATTTATAAAAATACAAACTCCAGTTTGAGATAAATGTGTATTGCTGCAATTCGTACACTGCCAAAATAACACAATAAAATGAACTTATCAAGATGAATAATTAAGTTTTAGAAATAATAATAGTTTTTTATATATTTATTTTTCTCCGATACAACACAACATGCACCAACCAAATCACTCTTGAAAGAGATGCCTTGGAGGACGTTAACACCTTTACATATTTGGGCAGCATTATCAACAGACAAGGTGGACCTGATGCAGATGTGATGGCGCGGATCGGCAAAGCAAGGGCTGCATTTCTACAGTTGAAAAATATCTGCAACTCCAAACAACTTTCAACCAAAACCAAAATCAGGATTTTCAATACAAATGACAAGACAGTTCTACTACTGTATGGAGCGGAAACATGGAGAACTACAAAAGGCATCATTCAGAAGATACAAGTGTTTATTAACAGTTGTCTACGCAAAATACTTCGGATTCATTGGCCGGACACCATCAGCAACAACCGACTATGGGAGAGAACAAATCAGATTCCAGTGGAGGAGGAAATCAGGAAGAAGCGGTGGAAGTGGATAGGACACACATTGAGGAAGGCACCTAACTGCGTCACGAGACAAGCCCTCACATGGAACCCTCAAGGCCAAAGGGAAAGAGGAAGGCCAAGGAACACAATACGCTGAGAAATAGAGAATGATATGAGAGGAATGAACAAAAATTCGACATAACTGGAGAGGGAAGCCCAGGATAGAGTTGGTTGGAGAATACTGGATGGCGGCCTATGCTCCATTTGGGGTAACAGGCGTAAGTTATATATTTATTTATTTAAACCTAAACATTGGTACAAAATGAACACATAAATATTCATGCACCATGCAAATTATTGAATTTGTCAGTGAGCTGACATACTCTACCCGAAAACTCAAACCTAAGCAAATACTTTCCTTAGGAGGTTACTCTTCAAGCTTTTGACCTACATGTCTAATCTGTAAGGGGCAGTGAGTGAGACAACGTTATGAGTTGTAGCCTCATGGTAGCCTGTGATATATAATAACTTCATATGCCACAGACAGATGTAGGACGTGAAACACTTTCGAGTAGCTGTCACTGCACCGCCAACACAGAAATTCACATGTAAAGTTATCAATCGATCAACAAGGAAGTAGAGTGATAAAGAAATGAGAGGCGTTTAGAATCTAATGAATGCAATTGTTATGATTCAGATTATTCATTATAGAGTTATGGAGATTATTGAGTTTCATTGAAATTATGAACCGATCATTCATAGACCATCATTAGAAACATGGAAGCACTGGATGGCTGTTTCGTCCTTGTATAGGACTCATCAACACTGTTGGATGCCGGCTCAACTGTCTAGAGGTTAATTGTTCACCTGCAAGATCGAAGGTACTGGTTTCGTCTCCTGAGAACAGTTTGCGTGGATGATTACTGCTGAGGAATCACATATTATATAATGAAACGGCCATCCAGTGATTCCACTTAGGAATCTCACTTTAATCACTTAACAGATTGATAGTTCCTGACTTAGTGTAGTACTTGATACTACCAAGGATTTGTAGTGAAATATCATGCATAACGCATCCAGTGAGTCTAGACCAAGAACGTGTTGGGAAAACCAGGAGCCGATAGAGACGGATTAGTCTTCACCTAATCATAAAATATCATCAGAACACTACGTCACGTCGATGCCTAATCTGACAAA